ACTACTACTACCACTACTACTAACTACTACTACTGCTACTGCTGCTACTACGACTACTGCTGCTACTACTACTACTACTACTACTGCTACTACTTCTTCTTCTACTACTACTACTACTGCTACTACTACTGCTACTAATGCTACTACTGCTACTACTCCTGCTCCTGCTGCTGTTGCTACAACTACAACTACACCAACAGCAACAACTATTACTCCTACGACTACGACGACGGCGACGACGACGACTACTACTACTACTACTACTCGCTACTTCTCCTCCGAGAAGACTACGGCAACTGGTGTGGTTGTTGCTGTTGCGGTTACGGTTGCGGTTGCGGGTTGCCGATGCCGCTGCCGTCGTTGGTGATTGTTATTGTTGCTGTTGCTACGTAGTACTATTACAGTTACTGTTGCCACCGCTTCGAAATGGCACGCGCCATGTAAGGACAGCAACAGGATCACCACGCTTTCGTTGACAGGTTGTGAATTCTTGTCAGAAAACTCTGTAGTTGAGGGTCTAAGTGTCGGGTTTGAGGAGCTCAGCAACCTGCCTGAAAAAAGCTTCGCGTATCCTGAACTCTAGCCCAAAACAAAAACCCCAGAACATCCCAGGACCCAAAACACCTGCACCGCCCTTAGTCGTCAACCCGGCACTGCCGGGACTCAACTAAATCTCGGCCTGTGCTCTTGTAGCGATAAATGAACTGGCATCCAAAATCAAGAGTCTAATCTTCAGCCAGGTCGTACGATTGGCCTTGTATTTCCTGTAATTTCATTGTCCTAAACTAAACGTCACTAAACCCTAAACCTCTGCATAATATATATATATATATGCGTGTCTTTATGATCTTATTGAAACCCTCATGCAAAACCGTAAACCCCAAAAACAAACACCCTGCACCCTCTCAGGTTCCTGCCTTGCCACATCGGTCGAGGAATGTTCGCACTACCTCTGCAGGAATGACCTTGGCGCTAGGGTGTTAGGGTTTGCGGTTTTACTGCTTGAAGGTGTTCGGGTTTAGGGTTATGTAGCGTACTATAATGCGTTGATCCAGGGTCTAAGGCCCAGGCCTAGGGTTTAGGATGATCTAGAGCTTGATAGTGTTGGGGCTCAGGTCTTGATCTTCATCATTACCAACAACAGGACTGTCAGACTATCATCAACAGCAGATTTATCACCCTCAGTACAATCATGCTTCCAACCCACATTGCCATCCTCCCAAAGCATGTCTAAGCATACCCCACAATCACCGTATGCGTTGAGAGCAGAACTAACGCTGAGTCTAACCGTCAATACAGCATACGACGTTCAACCAATAATGGCTGCGTGGTGCTAAGTATCAAGGATCCAAGTCAATGCAGGTGAGTCGCATAGCCGATGTTGTCAGTACTGCTGCGTACGTCCTGCAGAGGCTGGCATTATAGTCGCCAATCATGTCGAATCACGCAGGCTTGCGGGAAATTCTGATCCTAGCAACCTAAATAAAACAGAAGGACAGTACAAACTCTCAGGACGATCGTCCCGGCTACCGATCGGCCGATGCTCGGGATTCCTGTCTACTACTACTACTACGACGACGACGACTACTACTACTACTACTACTCCTACTACCACTGCTACTACTACTGCTACTACTGCTACTAGTACGACTACTACTACTACTACTACTACTACTACTGCTGCTGCTGCTGCTGCTGCTGATGCTGCTGCTGCTCCTGCTACTGCTACTGCTACTGCTACTGCTACTACTACTACTACTACTACTCCTCCTCCTGCTGCTGCTGCTGTTACTTCTGCTGCTACTACTACTACTCCTCCTCCTGCTGCTGCTGCTGCTACGGCTCCTCCTCCTCGTCCGACTCCGACTACTACTCCTCCTATTACTACTGCCACCACCACCACCACCACCACCACCACCACCACCACTACTACTACTACTACTACTACTACTACTACTACCACTGTTACTGCCACTGCTACTACTTCTACTGCTACTACTGCTACAAGTAGATACTGCTAGCTACTGCTACCGCCACCACAGACTACATTGGCACCCTTGCACCACGACAACATAACCACAATACCAACACATACCAACTATTCTATAATCCCAAATCCATACCCTAAATAGTGCCTTGCAGAAGGCCACGCCGGCCACATAGCCGCGGCTGTCAAAGACCGGACCACCACCTGCCATTCAGGATCGAAATCTTCATAGGGTCTTAACTAGGTTCTTGTTTCCAAACCCACCTTCGATGGGGAGTCCAATCCGATCAATCCGAAAACTCATCATGCGCAAACCCTCCCTGGAATAAGAAGCCCAGGTCCCTTCGAAACCCCAAAAAGAACAAGAAGCAGACGACAATGCTGATTCAATCGTTACTTGTGGTAACTATTCAACGTGGAGGGTTCTGCTTTAGGTATCGTGTCTACGAATCATTGGTCATTGGAAGTGGTAGCAGGGGTCGGAAGGTGTGATGCTAGCGTATGAGACGGCTGGAGGTATGAGTCGTGTCATGACAAGCAACCAAACGTGCATGAATGCTCACGTCGCTGCAGCTTACATGGGAGTGCGGCTTTGCCTCCATTGGTGCAAGTTGCAAGGATTACATCCAAACGCGAAGACCTTTCTTGGAAACCGTTGAGGTCGTCCATCCCCGATGTTTGGGGTATTGTTCCGCACACGCCAAGGGACAGTGTCAACTTTCGGATGAGTGACGACTCACTCCTTTGGGGGCGGGGATGGCTTTGCACACAGTTGGCTTTCGGGCTCTGTGACCGGATGTGATTAATGTGAGCCGCTTCTGGGCAAGTGCACAGACATGCAAATGTGCAGGTTCCCAGGTCTGAACACGTGAAGCCGGAGCCAACATCTAAACTGCGGGTCCAATAGAGTCTATTCCACAGATGCAACCGGTGCAACCCCAACATCCGAACATCGCTCGGCTCGGAACTGCATGATTATCTTCTCTGCCTGGATATCATGAACTCTGTTGCGACAGCCTCCACCAACATCATCATCATCACCATGATGAGTACTTGCCCGGAACACAGTTTGACACCATCAAATGAGCAGAAGGCGCGGCATTGGTTGCAGCTGAGCTTGGCAGACTCTTTCTTTTTTGGCGAAGCTGTCGGTTTTTGTTTATGGAAGTCCGATGCAGAATGATCACTGTGATCAAAGTCCGTCCCCTGGCCAGAAAAGCCCAAGCCTGTTATTCGGGAAGGATTACGTCGGTCATATATCATAAGCCAAGCAATTACAATTCTACGCGAAACCGACTCAGCTACGAAGACAACTGCTGTAAAGCCTCTGTAGTCGTTTCCGGGGACGTAATTGGCGGGGGATGCGCTTAGTTGCCAGACTTCGGACTCGGAAGTCCCCCTCAACCCCGAGACCTTAGCCGAGCATTGCGCTGATGTTTCTTCCCATAAGCCGGCAAGACGGATAAAATGCTTTCTGTCAAGCACTGGCAGCCAAGTGCTGGCGGCTCAAATGTTCGCAGCCCTGCGACACTTACAAGGAATCTGGCTTTCCGGTGGACAGGGCCCGACGAGAATATGATGGGACAAAATATGCACCGAGTCACAACGTGAGCTGCATCCCGGTGAAGGCCTTCCGTGGTGCACTAAGAAATTCTCTTTGCCCCTCACGTGAGCAACCCGTCACCAGTACCACACTGTTCGGGTAACATTGGGATTTGTGGCCTTTGGGATAATATTGTATGTAGCTCATGGAGAAACCTTCAATCTCCAAACAGTCAAAAGTCTAGCAAAGCTGGACTGTATCCATCGGCAGTAGACCCAGATCAGAGGAGGAGTTTACCAAATGCTGAAGACATTGTAGTACATCGATAGCCGCTAGCCCCGCCCTTTTTGAGTTCAGAAAGCAATTCGGTTTGGACGTTCTCGAAGAGGTACCCCCCCCCCCCGCCAAACAAAAAAAACGCGAGGTAAGTACGGCGAAGATCCTCCAAATATGCTGACCTTAGCTGACTAGTTCGGGGTTTGGGAGTGTAGGCCCTACATTTGCAGGGATTTCGTACTTGTTGAGTATCCTTGAGAGACGGGGAGGTTAACCTTTAAGGATACATAGCGGGTGTACTACACCAAAAAGGTTCAGGGTTACCCCAAACAGGTTCAGAGTTACCTACTCTACTACTATAAGGTTTGGAGGCTACATTCAGCGCGCTGCAATTTTAGAGGCTGGCAGGTTCGGTGTCTAGGACTAGACAAGTCCAACCTGCAGTTCAATTCTAGACAGCGTCGTGGCCGTAAACCTTAAACCGAATGCCCTGAACCTTGATCATGGTCTGTAAACCCCGCTTTGCGCTTCATGGTTCGGGATAGCTAGGGTCTCTCTTATCCGCGGATGTGGCACTGTGCTCGACAAGGAATTCCATGGGGCTTAAGGATAGGTTTTAAGCCTTGCAGCTTAAGTCTTCAGGCTTCTCATGTCTTAGGGGTAGGTAGCTGCACGTAATTGGCCTCTGAACTGGGGCTTTTCGCCTCCCTTATTGAGAGCCGGATTTCCCTCCAGCCCTGATCCCAGAACCCTAGTCAAAGAGAAAACCTACCAGAGCCAACTTGCTTGTAGGTACTAATCTGGAACACAAAATGGGAGTTTCCCAAAATTAGGGTACCTTATTTTGGGGGTCCTTATAATAAGGGTCCTACTATTTAGGGTACTATATTAGGGTCCCCCATTTTCGGAAACTCCCAAATAGATATTCTACAGCAGGGGGGGCGGCCTGCAGGGTAAGCCCTAAACGCAAATCGCTGGGAATCCTGAGCGCCAGAGGCGAAACCCTGCACACTAAACCAAAGCCTATAGGCCCTAGACCCGATTAGGCCCTAAAGCCTAAACCCAAAACCAAACCCTTGAACCCTGATGCCCTAAATTCCAAATCCTGCCCTCTGACAAGCCGGGGCAACTGTTGCCCGGGTTGATAGCTGCATCGATTTGAATTACGAGCCTGGGAATTGAAACTTCAGGGTTTGCGGGTTTAGGGTTTAGAAAAGGACCGAATTTAGGGTTTAGGGCTTAGGGATTGTGGCTTTTACAACTTAGGCTGCGGCAGATGAGAGATAGGGTTTGGGGGTTTTCAGATCGGGGTTTCATGTTCGGGGAATCTTCCGGACTAAGGCCCTAAACCGCTAAACCTGATTTGAGGTTTAGGGTTCAAGGTTTAGGGTTTAGGGTTGAGGATTTAGGGTTTAGGGTTTAGGGTTTAGGATTTAGGGTGTAGTGTAGGGTTCAAGGTTTCGGTGTTCAACTGGCTGTCCCGGTACCTTATACTATCTCTACTTATAATCAGGAGCCGGATGGTTCTTTAAGCCCCTTTTTCGTGGCCAAGATAAAAGAAATGCAGGGCTTGCGGGGCTGGTCCTACTTGTCCCGTCTCCTGGGGAGCTAAAGGTTAGCCTTTGGGAGTATCTTGGGATTACGTAGGTGTTATAGCCCCGCCCAACCATAAACAGGTTAAAGGTTTACCTACTCTACTCTAAGGTTTATGACCCCTCAACCCTAAACCCTAAACCCAGGGTGTATGAGTTGTGGTGTGGATGGACATGGCCCGGGTTTCGGGGGGGTTTAGGGGTTTAGGGTTTAGGCTTTATGACGCAGCTTTCATCGTGCGCCTCTCAATGGTTTACAGGCGAAGCCTCATCCCCTAAACCCTTGATATACCAATAAACCCCTACATAAACCCCTACAAAAACCCCTAAAACCCTTAACTCCTAAACCCACCCCTAAACTTCCTAAACCTTAAGCCCTGGACCTTTAAAACCTCTAAACTTCCTAAACCTCAAACCCCCTAAACCCCTAAACTTCCTAAACCTTGAACCCCTAAACCCCTCAACGCTGAACAAAAACAAAACCCTGTGAACCCTAACTTGAATCCAAGCTCTCGGATCCCGGGCTCCTTCGACACATTTCTATCTAGCTGTAGGTTTAGGGCTTAGGGTTTAGGGCTGAGTGTTAGGATCTCCTATCGGTATATGGTCCCCCATCAGGGAAGTTTAAGGTCAGTTTGGGGTCTAGAACAGGGTAGATGGAGGGTTTAGGTTCGACACAGCTCTTGTCCTGTATCCGTTTGACTTTCGCGGGACTCTACCTAAACTCTAAACCCCCCCGTACACCGAATCCCCACACCCTCAAACCCTTGTAGCTCTTGAGAGATGGACTCCATGCGGCTCGTGCATGTTGAAGGGATCGAAGGGATTAGATCGTCAGGTTTCGGGTAGTTTAAGGATAAACTCCAAAAGCTATGGGCCTTAATCACAACAAAAACGAAGCCGTCAGTCCCAATCGTAACTCCTACTTAAACCCTGAAGCCCTAAACCTCCTGAACCCTAAACCTTAAACTCTAAAGACTAAACCTTTGTCCAACCCAGCTGAAAGCTCCCAAACTCCCAACCCTTTCAAGCTAAACATTGAAAACCTAAACCCTGCGCCCCGAAACTTAAGCCTTAACCCCCAAACCTCAAAGCCCCCATTAAAGGAACCTTCTACGGAACCCATGAGTCCAAGGCGTGGTGTCTGCCGGGGGGGTCAGTTCGATGCTGTCCACCCGCGACCTCCGAGCATTCCGCGTTTTTGCATGGTTTAGGGTTTCTCTTTAAAGCACTAAATCCCAAAACCTTCAATCCTTAACCGTGAGTAGGGTTTAGGGTTTCGCTTTAAACACTAAACCGCAAAACCCTAAACCCTTAACCGTGAGTGGGGTTTAGGGTTTCTCTTTAAGCTCTAAACCCCCAAACCCCAAACCCTCGACCGTGGGTGGGGTTTAGGACTTCTCTACACCCAAAACCCAATTAAAACCCAAAACCCCTAAACCCTAAACCCCTACACCCTTAAACCCCTAAACTAACCCTAAAACCCTAAACCCTAAACCCCTAAACCCCTGAATCCTATGCCCTAAACCCCAAACCCCTAAACCCCTGAATCCTATGCCCTAAACCCTAAACCCTAAACCCCTAAACCCCAAAATCCTAAACCGTTTGAGGTTCGGCGCTTCAGAGCATTGGGTGCGCGCAAGCCGTGCATTTTGGGAAGGACCTTAGCATTGAGTCTGATTTCGTGGGTTTAGACGTGGTTTAGGGTTTTAGGTTTTAGAGTTGTGGGGTTTAGGGCTTTAGGGCTTAATTGAGGCTTTAGGGTTTGGGGTTTTAGGGCGGCTTCGTGCTTGTGCAAAGCATTTCTGGGCAGGTTTACAGGATTCCGACCTGAAAACAGTTCCCTAGTTCCATCACGTCTCCATGAAGGTCTTCTAAGGATCTGCCTGCAAGGTTGTAGTTGTATAGGGCTTATGATAATAATACAATAAAACTTTACATTAATTAATACTAGAACATGCCATATTGTTATATTATATGAATGCTATAACAATAAACAAAAGACCGTATTGTAGGAGTTTATGCTACACTAGAACATGCCATATTGTTATATTTAGATGACTGCTATAACAATAAAAAAAGACCGTATTGCAGGAATTTATGCTACAGCATCCTGTTTGGGCTCCTTGCGGCCCTGCGCTCTCTGAGACTGAGCCAGGCGCACAACGCCTTCGGTTATGCACAAGGTACGTCCACCTGTTTAGGGTTTAGGGTTTCTGATCGGCGAGATGTGCTTTTCTCTTCTTGCTGTCCCAATGGGTTCTAGGTACTGCTGTTGGGGGGTTACTTTCCCAAATCATGATAAGGAGTCCTAGTATAGAAGCCCTAATATAGGTACTTTGGACCCTTTGGGTGCGGCCTGGTTTTACATTTGGAGCATTTGGTTGAGGAGTGAGTAAAGAAACGAGCTGCTGCATGCTTCCTAGTCTGCCGCTACCAGGTGAAACAGGACGACGCACACTGGCCTTCATTGGTCTCTCAACCCATCTCCAACATCAGTAGCCCGACCTAACCAACCAAACCCCCAAGCCCCCATAGGGACCGAAGTTTCTGAGCTCTACAACCCCGCTGTGCATTCGAAGAATGCTCGCGCGGAAACGGTCCAAATTCAATCTGACCTTATCTACAGAAACAGTGTGAGGATTTCGGTCTTGGCCTTGAGGTGTCGGGGTTCAGTGCAAGGCAGGAAGGTGGCAGGTTGAAAACTTCGCGGTTCCCCTTGGCCTTCCTAGACTTCACAGTCTTTTAGTATGGGCCCAAAGAGCACGATAGAGGACCACAGGGGCTGATTGAAGTGTTGTTGGGGGTCCTGACCTTAGGGTGACTCTGGCCCAGTCGCCTGAAGGATCAAGCTGCCTTGGAGGTTTCTTGCTGATAAGACGGTTTCATGCTGATAAGATTAAGTTGGAGGCTGAAGTCTCAATATTTACGACATGGGAGATCAACTCAGGGCCCTCGGTGCATAAATTTCAATGCTGCTCCAGGGTCAAGAGTCTAGACTTTGGGTTGGGGGGGGCGTAACTCAATGATTGTTTGACGGTACCAAGAACACCTTCAAAGCCAGATGCATACTAGCCTGAATCCTCTCAGCACCGGAACCCTGAACCGTATACAGTATTCCTGCATGGAGCTTAGGTGAGCATAAAAAGTTCCCCAAAGTGCCTGCCACGTAATCTAGCATAGACCCTAAACCCTGAATCCTACACCGTATACAAACCCTCCAAAGAGTCCTGGCCAACTCCCAAAACTGCATTACACACTAGGACCGCGATTTTTGACGGGGAGGGTCCTTACCTTAATGTTGCAGGGCCCAACTCAGATGCTTTTGCACTAAGCTTTATACCCCAAACTCCTGAAGTAATCTTAAAACCCTACAGCACCATCCATTTAGGGCCTCAAGCCGTTACACTAAATCCACCCAACCAAAAAGCCCGAAACCCTTTTACCCTACCCCTCCAATTCCTGAACCAACTCCGCAAGCCTGAACTCATCTACTCCAATGTCCTAGACACCGGACAGCATAGACAATTTCCTAGGCCCTAACTGGTATGCATTTATGTCTGCATGTATGCATGTACGCATGTACGGATGTATGTATGTATGTATGTATGTATGTATGTATGTATGTATGTATGCATGTAGGGCCCAAGTGACCCAGCAGCGGGTATCTTGAAGGCCCCATGTACCGCATGCAATGGCCGCTCTGCGGAACGCGGTACGCCCGTGAGCTCTGGTAAGAACCCCCAAAATAATGTTGGCAATTATTCAGTCCCTTACATTACCCATATAGGGATTGTAGTAACCTCCCTTTCTAGGCCCGAAACATAATACGGCACCCTTATGAAAAGGGACCTCAAAAGGGACCCTAATTTAGGGAACTACCCTAAACCCTAAACCCTAAACCCTAAACCCTAAACCCCAAACCCTAAACCCCAAACCCTAAACCCTAAACCCTCCCATATGACCGGAAGAAGAGTTTGGGAACACCCCGGCCCCAGGGGCGTCCTCGCCTGTTGGAAAGCCCAGAGCTCGCACCGTCTCCTTTCTCAGGCGTCAGGTTGAGGGTTTAGGGCTTACAGGGT